TCAGACTGCACTGGCACTGATTTCCTCACTGTAGGATAGGCTCTGGTGTCTTTTCATTGTCACTTTTAGTGTTAGGTAAATAACTATAACACTTTTAGTGTCACAATGTAGTGTTTTTCTTTCTCTGCTTCTGTTCACAGCCACTCCTTTCCTGAATTTCTGAGAGATCAAATTTCTACTTGGGACCTTTTTGGCCCAAGTTAAAGTAAACACACTGCCTTTAAAATGTAGGTACATGATATTAACTTGAACCTCCTTTAAGGTAAAAGAATTGAAGGTTACAACATAAACATGTATATGGTACCAACAGTGGAAAATTTCTAAGTGAAATTAAAGCAGGACCTGGCATTCGTTTCATCATACTACTCACTTGAAGAGCTGAGTACATTATGTGAACTTTATCCCATTAATCCTTAGAGATAAGCAAAGGGACTTGAAAGAATGACTTGTATAGATAGGGTCACATAGCCAGGTAGTCACAGTGTTAACAGCCTGCTGCCTTGACAGTATTTGAATAGTTAGGCTACTTGACCTTAACACTGGGCTATACATTGTTTTAACGACATAATGACATATTTGTGCTCTAACAGGAGAATTCACATTTTCACAGCATACTTACATTAGCACTCCTGGTATTGAGAACATGTATCCAAATTTGCCAATATTAACTTAGTTCTGAACCCCCCAGCTTCCCTCTTCTGTAATCTTGCTGCTGCTTTTATTTTTCTCCTCTTCACTCCTTCCCACATCCTCTTCTCTCTAATGCTATTAAAGACTGAAAGAAAGTTCAATCACATTACAGAATTGAAACATATATATATGAGCCCTCCTCGGACTACTTGCACTTTGAAAGACAACAGCTTAGCTGAAAGAAATTATCTATCACTTTCTGCTATCAAGGAAGATTTTGGGGAGGTGAAAAGCCTTCTTTCCTTGTTCTCTTAACATGTAGGTGATTACACTTTCCTTTCAGCTTCTAGAGGAGAAAGTTTGCAATGGAAAAAGACAGAGAAGTAATTATCTCGGGAAAAGAGGATGAGGAGTGGGGAAAGAAGGAGAACAGGGTAGAACTTTATCTTTTCCATATCTGGTAAACCACCACACTTTGTGGAAGTGAAATGCATACTTTCAGCACTTAACCAGCATGTACCAATAATGAAACCGACCTTCAGGCCTTCTTTTGACAGAACAATCTTAACTATAATGTAAAGTAACATTTTGTAAAATGGGTTTTTCTCTCCCTCTGCTTCTTTTCCCTCCCCTATACTCATTTAGGATCTGATCACAGAGTCAACACCGGGCTATGCATTATTCCCTCAGCAAACAGTACCCTTTCATGGCTTCACACCAGTGCTCATGTTAGTCCCTTTACCTGAAATCGTCTTCTGTCTGTTGCTCTGCCTATTCAAATCCTATTCATCCAACGAGACCCAATTAAAATGCCAGCCATGATGCCTTCTCCAGTTCTTCTACCTTGAGCAAGACCAATCCCTCCCTCCATTATGACTCCACAACACTAGTGGATATGTTTATATTTTATAACTCATCATCTTATATATGTTAATATGTTGCTCTACTCCACAAGACGTAAACTACTTCAAGTTGGGGCCAGGTCTTATTTATTCATATTTTCTGTGCCTAACACTGCTATATATCAGGCATGATAAATGTATATACTATAGTCTGGACAGTATGTTTACAGTTTCATAAAGGAGACAAGGTTTACAGACATAAGAGAGCAAGACAGTATAAGGGATTGGGCTAGGAAAATGAGGGTTAGGTAACTACTAAATTCCACAAATATTTATTCAATAGCCAGGAGTCAGGAATTATGTCCCGGGACTACTAGGATAAATAAAATAGTCATTTCCTTTGAGGTGCTCACAATCCATCTTGTAGATACTCTTTAAACGTGGACAACACTCCCCTGGCTTACCTATCACTTTACATGTTGTTCCTTACAGCAACCCTGTGATGTACATCATTATTTTCATTTTTATGGAGACAGAAACAGAGGGTTTGAATTCCTAGGTCTTCTGACTCCAAGGCCAGGTTTTTCTACCCCACTACATCAGTGTTCCTCAAAACTTTCCTCTGGTGTACACTTTCCCAGTAGAGAATAAATGTAGGCTCCTCAGGGTTGGGATATACTTGTGTGTTATCTTAAAAAGTCATGCTTACTGCCATATCTTACCTTACTTACCAGAGAGTCAAAACGATGCTCAGAGGAAATGAGCCACATTGATTCTGGGTCCTTGAGGGTCCTCAGGACAGGGTTTCACAATCAGAGGAGTCCCAATATGAGAAGCACATGGCTACACTCCTGCCTTTATTCAGGGTCCCTGGGTTTGGCTTGAGGCCACATCCAAAATTTTGTGTAACTTCATCAGATTTCTTAATGTCATAATTTTATTCAGGATTCTCTGAGGACTGGAACAAAACACCCACTGTACTCACAGATGTTGAGTAGTGAGGACTGACCCTTTCCTCCCTGAAAGGATATCTCACTCTAGCAATAAGATCTCCTCAGTCTGATACTATTTGCCACCCCTCCCATTGCTGGTCTTCAACTCCCTGTGGGTCCTGGAAGGCCGGAAAAGGCTTACCACCACACTCCGGTCAGCACCGCCGCTAGAGGGCAGCCCGCGGCTGCAGCTTCGTGAGCCCTCTACTGGCTGCTGGGGTGACCTGGCTCTTTTATGGAACCCATTAAAAACTCTCAGAAGTTGCACTTGGGAAGCCAGCCTGTGTGACACCCGGTAGCGAACTTTTTATAAAACGTCTTGGTTCTCAGCTTCCTTTTCTTAAGGCCTTTGGCAGGCCTCAGATACGTTACCCCCTTGATGAGTCTCCCACTTCCTAAGGATCTCCCCCTCCCAGGGTGTTGCAACTTGGAGTCATCATTCTCTCTTGGCAAGGCAAAAAATTAGAACCTTGGGGGAACTTGGCAACTTTCCTCAACGTGATATAGGGTATACACATACACACACACACACGTATATATATATACCTACAATTCAAGAATTTTCAGCGTTAATTCCAGTTTCAGCATAGCTTGCAAGCTCTGGAATTAAACTTCCAGGACTCAAATTTTGGCTCCTGCATTTGCTAATTGGGTAATTTTAAGAATGTTAATTAACCTAAGCTTCCATTTCATCTGTAACAGCGGGAGAATAATACCTACATCATACACTTTTGGGGAGGAATAACTATGATAATGTATGGAAAGTGCTAGTCTGGCACATAAAGTGTTCAACAAACATTAGCTATTTTTATTCTTTAAAGCTTCTGTCTAGTGCACACCATGTCTATCAATTTGGTCCAGAAAAATACTGTCTTCACACACCCACATGAAGATATGTATGCAAAATGAATTTCATAAACCACCTATAGTTTCCTAAAGTGGCTAAGCTAATAAAGACCTCAGAGTATGGAAAAGGGGGCTCATTTGTGTGATGAAATTCGTGCAATGGGTAGTTGAAGCATTGCGTAATCCAAGAGGCCACGGTGGGGGTTGGGGGGCGCTGTGTTTCGCACACAGGTGTTCTTTCTTCCCGCACCCCCACCCTCACCCCTCACCACGTGCAAGCATTCAGTGTGAGTCTGCGCCTTGAGTCTGTGGGCCAGGACAGAGGGCACAGTGGACAAAAGCAAGAGGGTTTCAGGCCAAGGCAGGGAACTGAGAACTCAAAGGCCCGGGAACCCAAGCCAATCAGATTCACCATCCACTAGGAGTCTAAAAGGTGGCAGAGCCTCACAGCCCAAAGTCCACGCACAGCAGGAAAGTGGCCAGAGGATCTGACAGGTAGAAACCTGATAGAGACTCTATCAGAAAAGTTAAAGCTGAAGGGCTCATAACACCCACGGGCCCAAAGAAAGGTCAGTGTGAGCTGAACAGCTGTTCCATTTGGTGCCAGAGGCCTTGGCTGTTGTCTTCTACATCCAGGCAGCCTCCCTGATCAGCCCCACCTAGAAAAGCCAATTCTTCTGCTCTTAAAGGAGACTGACTTATTTGTAGCAAATCTATCATTTAGGTATGAATGGGAAGTGGGGGAATGGTGCGGAGTCTGCGGGGGGAGGGCGGGTGTTCAACGGGCTCCAAAGGAAGGAGCTCGTGGCTGAAGCCTGAGCCTCCATGTTGTGAGTACTACATGCGTTTCTTTCAGAGGCAGACAGGGGCCTTGGCTGCAGGGACCCTGACAAGCCGCGACTTGAGCTATGCTTTAGAGCCTGGATTGAATTGGGAGCGGTATAAAGGAGGAGGGAGGGCATGCCTGGAAAGGGGGTGGGGTGGGGTGGGGTGGGGGAGGTGGAGGGGAACAGCATGAGCAAAGGCACGAAGGAAGAATGAATCTGCTGCGCGTTGAGGATGGCATAGAGACTTCCCTGATTGGAGCCGGGAGTTCTTGCAGGGGGATGGAGGCCGCTATGATTGGATAGCTAAAGTGGGGCCAGATTTGGAGGGCTTTGAATGCCCGACCGAGGAGCACTGAACCCAGCTCCTGACTCGCGATTTCCGTTCAAAACCGAATTACCTAAAGGGTGGTTAATTCCAACGTGTGTTCTTCTTTGGGGGCTTCTGAAAAGTCGGTTTATCGTCTTACCTGCTTCAGTTCTCTTCATTTACTCAGGGAGGAAGTAATCCTCACATGTGCAGGGGAGTGGGTATAATGATTTCTCTTCACTTGCTTTGAAGATGCCTCCCCCGCCCCAAATCGCACTTCCACGCCAAATATTATTAAATTTGGTTTCTCCTCCTCCTCACGCAAGTTCTCTTTCTCTCGCCAGCACCTCCCCCACGTTTTCCTGCTCTCCACCAGTCGGGCCCGACTCCTCCCGGCCCCCAGCGGCGCGCTTCCCCGGCCCGCTGGCCCGCGCCGCCCTCCGCGCCGTGCACCCCCCTCCCGGCCCGTCGCGCCCGCGGCCCGCACACCCTGGTCCACGCCCCCCCGGCGGAGCGGTAGGTGTTGTGCGGTCTGCGCCGGGCCGCAGTGCGGCTGCGCGCACTGTGCTGCCTCCGGGGCTGGCAGGGCAGCGGCGGCCGCGGCGGCGGCGGCGGCGGGGCCGGGAGCGAGCGGCGGCGGCGGCGTGGGGAGTGGCGTGGAGCGGAGCCTGGGGCTGCAGCAGCGCGGGGACCCCGGAGTAGAAAGCCCCGGGGACAAGGAAGGAAGGAAGGCCCGGCCGCCAAATCCCTGAGCAACCGTTCTTCTTGGATTTTGGGGGAGCCTGCCCCCCCACTTCGTCTTCAAACACCCCCAACTCACCCCCCACAGCCCCGGCCGCTGACGGGAGGAGGCGGCGGCGGCAGCGGGGGGCTGAGGGGCGCCGCCATGCCTCTCCCGCGGTGAAGCACCCCGGCCGTGAGGAGCCGCTGGTCTCCCCGGTGATGTCCCCCAGGCGGCAGGCGAAAGCGACTCACTCGAGCCCTGGGGTAAAGGCCTAGCTTATCCAGCTTCCTTCCTCCTCCTCCTCCTCCTCTTCCCCTCTCCCTCCCCCTCCTTCTCCTCCTCCTCTCCCCCCCTTCGTCCTCCCCTCCCGGTCTCTTCCCTCACCCTTCCCCGCGCCCCCATCTTTCCCTCCCTCCCTCCCACCCCTCCAGCAGCGATGGCAGAGGAACAACAACAGCCGCCACCACAGCAGCCTGATGCCCATCAGCAGCTTCCCCCCAGCGCCCCCAACTCGGGGGTGGCCCTGCCAGCCCTTGTGCCCGGGCTGCCAGGGACAGAGGCCAGCGCGCTGCAACACAAGATCAAGAACTCCATCTGGTAAGAGGATCCTCCATCGCTGGGGTGAAAAAGCCCAGGCACATTTCTGCTGCAAAGTGGGTGGGGGGCGGCGGGCGGGGGAGCGGAGGAGGAGGTTGATGCTTTCATTGAATGTGGCTTTCCCCCTAGTCGGTTGCACATTTGTAGGACCTCTGGAGGTGTAGGGACTGTGCATCAATCAGCCCCTGTCTCCTTAGCTAAAAAATGCTTTTACCCCCTCCTCAATTGTGAGTGCAGATAAACAAGTTTTTTGGTATTATTTTTTCACTCATTGTAACAGAAATATGGGTCGGAATTAAGTCATATTGCATGATGGTGGCATGAATTTGGAACTGGTGAATGTGAAATGTGTTTACTCCTTTTTGCAGCCGTAGAAGGAGGAAGAAGTGTATTGTGAATTTTCACCAAACAGATATCCAAACAGATATTGTGCGTAAGAATATTAATATGCAGCACAAAACCTAATGTGTCTCTTCCTTTTCAGTTGGGTTAGCTGCTGTTTCTGAATGTTTTTGCCTCCTTTATTCTAATATTAAATTTCTTTTTCAGGGAATTTATTCTTTGCATTGATTTTGAAGAAAGTGCTTCTTTAGTATAAAATATTTTAAGATGGTAGTTTACAACAAAGTGTGTTGGTTTTGTTTTTTTTTTTTTTTTTTTTTGCTTAAAACATAGGGAATCAAATGTCTTGCCATTTGTGTGTCTTTTTAAAAGAAACCATTGATGGAATATCTTTGGCTGTTTTACTTTCTCGTATGAAAATTTACAGTATTTCAGCATTAGATTAAACTCCTCAAGTCTAGTGGGAATCTTTTAATAATTAAATACACCGAGTTAAGTCCATCCACTGTTAGAGCCATTGCAATATTCTTTGAACATGAACTTGCATTGTTTTGTAGGATTCTTCATTAACTGCCTTTTTTTTTAAGTGTAGCAATATTTTTTAAATGGAAAGTAATATTTGGAATTTGTCCTAAGAGATTGCTTTTAATAGAAGTATAAAAAGAGAATTTCATATGGTATTTTAAAAAGCCTTGATTTTGAAAATGGAAATGAAATCTTTGCAGGGCCATCATTGAATATGAGTACTAAAATATCAAAACTCATTTTCTCATTTTGAAAACATATCGTAAAGCAACTGGCATTGCATGTACAGTATTTACACATTTTTAAAGTGATCCTTTTTAAATACAAGATTAATGTTAGTTATACAGTAATTTTCATTATTTTCTTGGCATACATCCATGCCGTCATGATGCTGATATGAAGTAGGTCAGTGCAGGCTTTAATAGTTTCATCAACAGTAGTTGGCAGTTGAATATCTTGCTTTCAGTTTTAATTTTAAAATGAAGTTTAAATATTTTAAAGGAGTATTTTTTTGGCTTTGATAGTAGTCATATTGTGGCAACTTGAAAATAGGTCCGATAAATATGATTGGGGTGTGTGTGTGTGTGTGTGTGTGTGACAGAAAGCAGTCTTTATTCTTCAGTGGATACCCTCACCCCCTTATTAAAGCTATAATTTAAGAGATGGTGAATATCTTGCTTACCATCAAGGTTTTCACAAAACCAGTGTTTTTTTTTTTTAACCTCTAGTAACATCATGTAACTTTGTGTTTCTGAAATCATCATTAAATTGAAATAAACATCTTGATTTTTACATTCAGATGTGGCATATCCAAGTTAATGGACTAAAATATTTTAAGAGAGACAAATTTTAAAAGTTGATTTAGTAATGTATATTTTAATTTATTATGAGAACAAGAGGGGAAAGGAATCTTCACTTTATAGTTTTAAAATGAGTTGTAGAGGCAACTGAGTGAAATGTTTAAATAATGATGACAGTCGAGTGCACTTTTTGGTAAATAATGTGTAAATTTAATTATTCTTTGATATTTGCATATCCATTACAGCCGAACTGCTCTGACTTTAACATGAGAAAAACTTCTGAAGTAGAGTGCTCTCCAGTTTTTGGTGCTTGCTCTCAAAAAATAATGGGCAACAAACACGTGAATCCCAAAATATGAAATTTTGTATTTTTGTTTTAAAATTGTAATGGTATACTTAGTAGCATCTAATGTTCAACTTTAGAAATCCTATTTGCAAAAATGATTTTTATATACTTAAAATTTCAGAATAAACATTTGTAGAGAGTAAACAAGATTAGTGAATATATTTAATAGTCTCATACCCCCTGCTCCACAAGAATGGATTTATATTATTCATCAAGTGACTATATAAAATAAAGATATCAAAAGTGAAAACTCCTTTACTACCATATTCTCCTAAGAAATAGTGTATATGTATTAAATTTAAATAATTTTAATAGATGATTGCAGTTATTTAGATATTTCACATTTTTGAGGCAATAATATTATTTTACAAATTATTCTATCACCTGATAATATTCTGAGAGACTATCAGTTTTGTACTACTTCCTGAATCATCCTTTGGTACCATTAATGAGAATTTAAAATTACTCTCAAAAGAAATGTGACATTTAAAAATTATCAAATGGGTTTTGCATTTGGTTTATCATAGTTTCTAAATTACTGGGCTTGCATATCACAAACAAGTCTGTACTTGTCCTCCTACTCTACAAATATAAATATAGTATGTGATGTAGGCCTTTGACTGGACAATGAGTTATTTATCAGTTCATAATTAATTCTGTTTATTAAACTAAAATATTGTTTGATAAAAGTACGCCCATTGAAATATCAGGCATTAAATGAGTCTGGAAAAAAAGCATTCAAAATTGATTGGAAACTATTTCTTAAGAGTTGGAAATATATTTTGAAGGTAATTATAGAAAATAAGTTAGTACAAAATTGACAGTTATGTTTCTATAACACGGTTATGAATACCTTCATCTGAAGTCTAGGTTAACAAGCTTGCATGTTTCTTATTCTTACTCCATAGACAAAAGGTCCAAATCACTGACACTACTCACTAGAAAGGAGATTTGTTAGTAGGCATGTGCTTTAGTACTGAATATGGTGTAAGGTTATTTGTATTTTCTAAAAAGTAGAATTCCAAAATAAGCTTATTGTTGTTTAAAAAAACCAAAAACTAGTAACCCATGTATTTTACCTAAAACAAGGCCACAACCCAACCTAACTGCAAACTACTTTTAGCTTAAATTGCACCCCTCTTTGGTTACCTCAAAAAAAAAAGAAAGAAAGAAATACCAAAGCAAGTTTTCCCTTACGCTTATCTCTCAGTGTCTTCCTAGTTTAGTGAAAATTTTTTAGTGTAAGCAACAATAAACAAATTTACTAAGTCCTTTTATTTACCTTCTTAGGGCAGTTTTACTTGAAACCCTGATAGAATAAAATTGCTATGGAAAAACTAGGATTGAGATGGTTTCTGCCTGTTTGTGAATTGAGATCATACCTACGTGAGTGGGAGTGAATAACATGCATGCAGTGAGGCTGTAACATAGATACAGGTTGATCATCCCTAATCCAAAATCCCCCAAAATTCAAAATGCTCCAAAATCTGAAACACTCCAAAATCCCAAACGTTTTTAGTGCCACGAGTGAAAAATTCCACACCTGACTTCATTGTATCATGCACAAAATTATTTAAAATATTGTATAGGCCAGGTGCGGTGGCTCACGCCTGTAATCCCAGTACTCTGGGAGACCAGGGCGGGCGGATCACCTGAGGTCGGGAGTTCAAGACCAGCCTGGCCATGGTGAAACCCCGTCTCTACTAAAATCACAGAAAATTAGCTAGGGGTGGTGGTGTGCACCTATAATCCCAGCTACTTGGGAGGCTGAGGCAGGAGACTCGCTTGAACCCAGGAGGCTGAGGTTGCTGTGAGCCGAGGTCATGCCATTGCTCTCCAGTCTGGGCAACAAGAACGAAACTCCGTAAAAAAAAAAATTGTATAAAAATTCAGGTTGTGTGAATAAAGTATATATGAAACATAAATGAATTACTTTTTTTTTTTTTTTTTTTTGAGATGGAGTCTCGCTCTGTCGCCCAGGCTGGAGTGCAGTGGCGCGTTCTCGGCTCACTGCAAGTTCCGCCTCCCGGGTTCACGCCATTCTCCTACCTCAGCCTGCTGAGTAGCTGGGACTACAGGCGCCCGCCACTGCGCCCGGCTAATTTTTTGTATATTTTAATAGAGACGGGGTTTCACCGTGGTCTCGATCTCCTGACCTTGTGATCCACCCGCCTCGGCCTCCCAAAGTGCTGGAATTACAGGCGTGAGCCACCGCGCCCGGCCATAAATGAATTTCATGTTTAGACTTGGATTACATCCCTAAGATACTCATTACACATATGCAAATATTCCAAAATCCAAAATAATAAATTGTAAGCACATTGGATGCGGTGGCTCACGCCTGTAATCCTAACACTTTAGGAGGTCAAGGTGGGTGGATTGACTGAGCTCAGGAGTTTGCAATGAGCCTGGGCAACACGGTGAAACACCGTCTTCACTAAAATACGAAAAATCAGCCAGGTGTGGCATCGTGCGCCTGTAGTCCCAGCCACTTGGGAGGCTAAGGCAGGAGAATCCCTTGAACCCAGGAGGTGGAGGTTGCAGTGAGCCGAGATCGTGCCACTGCACTCCAGCTTGGGTGACAGGGCGAGACTACGGTTCAAAATAAAAAAGTAAAAATAATAAATAAACAAATCGGAAGCACATATGATCCCAGGCATTTCAGATAAGAGATAGTTAGCTTGTGTTAAACTCGTAACTGAAAATTCAAAAGAAATCCTGATGTTTTATTTTAGAAAATATTCCAATACTGCATTTACTCAAATTCAGGGATTCTTAAAAGAATTTGTTATCAATTACTGTTTTTATTTCTGTAACTTTATTTGCAGGTGAGACCTCATAAACCTCTTCTTAAAACGGTCATATAAGATCTGTCGTTTTGCCCACTTTATGGAAAGAGATAAACAGTGACAGAAGACCTATAAGATTCCACTGATTCCTTATTAGGAAAAATAAGAAAAAATGCTGGGATCAGAGTTCCTTATCTT